TGTGGGAGCCGTCATGTCGTCCATGTTTTCACACAGACTGTTGCTGTTACACTATAAATAATCTCTTTAACGTTGGACACATTTTTCCACCAGCTGCAGTTTGGAAACATCTGGAGTCAGTGATGTGTCTCAGCCACCAAATTAAAAACAGCAGAAGAAGAACAACAGCTGATGTAAACACGTCAAAAACAAACAGATCACAAGTTGTTTATGATAGAGGGAACAAACGAGGCGCGTGTTTGAAACCCTGAAATGTTTTTACTGAACGATAGTAACGTGTATGAAGCGTCTCTGCTGACAGACTCGCTGACTTCCTGTCTTTCTCCTATCTCTCTTTATGATTAAACATTCATTGACAGCTGATTTTAACGACTCTGTTTCCTGTGTTTGTCTCAGTTTGGTGGATCTGCTGGTTGGCGCTCCTCTCTTCATGGACAGAGGCCCTGATGGGAAACTGAGGGAGGTGGGACAGGTATGAAACACACACACACACACACACACACACACACACACGTCAATATTTCATGTTGAGATTCCTTCCCTCAGAGGACATTATAACTGATATAATGCTGAATATGCTCAGCCAGGAACAGACTCTAACACTGTGTCCTAAAGCCTAAATTCCACCAGATGTGTGTTCGGTCCGATCAATTTACCACAGAGCAGATCGAGCAGGACAGGAAGTCAGACACCGAAACATTACAACATCCTGTTTATTTTCAGAATAAAACACTCCGTTTAGACGGTTCAGAACAACGACCTCGTGTGTTTGTTCTTTATGATCTCGCGTGATTCAGTTATTACCACGGGAACTTCTTTGTCTCTGCACTCCAGCTGTCCAGCGGTGCTTGCCATGCTGCGCTCTGAGCACGCAGCCTGCGGGTGTTGACAGACTAGGGAGCACTGAGCTCGACCGGACCGGAGCAGACACTCAATGCACACGTATCTGGTGGAAGTTCTGGGTGATAGAATGCGAGCGTTGGATGTCACGTCGCATGAGAGCAGAGAGGAGATAATGGATAGAAAACACACAGACCCATATCTCTCACAGACACGTGTGTGTGTCTGTCATGTCGCTCCATCAAGAGGAAACAGAGACGCAGATAAAATTTAACATTTGAACTTCCTCAGAAGTGAACAAACTGTTCCACTCTTAGTTTGCACATTTCATTTTTCCTCCTGCTGATATTTCAACAGAAATATTTCCTTCTTCATAAACTCTCTGGATGCTGAAAAAAAAGCTTCTATAAAAAAGAGAGATGTAAGTTCAAAGTTAACGATCAAAAGCACAAAAAAACAAATTGCACTTAAAGGTCCAATCAGTGAGATGTGTAGAGAGTGAAATGATAAAGGTACGTTACTATATGATCAGACATTAAGGAAACATGCTATGTTGAAGTGCTGGCTTCTCTGACAACAATGCAGCAGCCAGTATGTCCTCCTTCTAACTTTAGATTCTGGTCCTGAATGCTCTGGATTTGTTTGGACCAGAGAAGGTAGGCGGTTTTAAGGCACCCCTACACGGCCGTTTTGGACGCCCCTTGGTTTGCCAAATATGAGAGCAGTTATCAGGTCAAACCAACAGGTGTTGTAGTGATGGAAGCGGGCAAGAGAACTGGTTCAGATAGAAGTGATTGTACCCGACCTAAAAAGCCTCTGCATGTTTCTAATAAGCTCCATGAGCAGAAACGTGCTCAAACTAGGATCAATATTAGAAATGCTTTTGAAAAATGGAGAGAGGTTAGAACACAGAAAGGTTTACAGACCGATGCAGAGCTGGATAAACACTGAAGCTTCAGTGTCCACCACATGGCAACCTGTGTGAGCATCGACTCTAGAGAGGAGGGGGTGGGGGGAGACAGCGCTCTACAATGTTTACTGAAGCGTTTCCTTTGTTTTCAACAACTGACAGGATGCATTGGTGTGTCCGTGTGTGTGTGTGTGTTTTCTTCAGGTGTCTGTGTACCTGGGTCGTGGTGGGTTTTCCTTCCACCCTCCTCAGCAGCTCATCGGGTCAGAGGTTTACGCCCGATATGGCTCTGCCATCACCACACTGGGAGACCTGGACATGGACGGATTCAATGGTGAGACACGCACGCACACACACACACACACACACACGAACACACACACACACACACACACACAGCCCTCGTGTTTCATCTCTGATCTCTCTCTCTCTCTCTCTCTCTCTCTCCAGACGTGGCGATCTCTGCTCCGTACGGGGGTCCAGATCGGTATGGTCGCATCTACATCCATAACGGCCGCCCTCAGGGGCCCAACGCCACACCTTCACAGGTAAACACCACAAACATGTCCAACATGAAGCATGAATGAAACACAGAATCAGAGTACCTTTATTGTAATCGACAAAGAGGGGGGTCAGGGTTACTGATGAGGCGGCCGATAGTTTGAGGCATGTGGATAAACCCATGCAGGCGTTTTCGCTGTATATACTTGCGCCATATCTTTAGCGAGATTCAGCGCGACTGCATCAGTAAGAGCCTTCCATCGTATCTGTTTCTTGTCTTAGAGGTGTAGATAAATCGATCATGCTGCTGCTGCCTTTATTAGCAGTCGCACAAACACACACACACTGTTTGTTTTAAATGTTTGTGTGTATTTTTCAGGTCCTGAAGGGTAAATGGGCGTCCAGCTACATGCCTTCAAGCTTCGGATACTCCATGACAGGAAACACTGACATAGACAAAACGGATACCCAGGTACACAAACACACAAAAACACACGCGCGCGCGTACACACACAGCAGGGAAGAGGTGTGCTGAGTGTTTTTTTGTCTTTCAGATTTAATAGTCGGGGTGTTTGGAGCCGACAAAGCTGTTTTATACAGGTAACATACTCTCTCTGTGTGTGTGTGTCTGTCTGTGTGTGTGGGCGTGCGTACCCCCCTGCGGTGCATGAGGACCGTAATGAGCTAGGCCACCTCTGATATCAAAGAGCTTCTGTTTTATAGCTGCTGTTAGGACATTTCTTAACCCCTTGAGTGCCGATTAAATCCAATTAAATGGATCCCTCTTTATTCCTGAAGATAATTATGTCCTGAATGTGGGGTCATGACCCCACTGAAAACAAAAAACATAATTCAACATTATTTCAGTCAAAACTCACATCTCAAAACTTTATCAACCAAGCCAGGAACCTCCTTAAATCAGTCCTGAGCTGCTGAGCTGCAGACTGAGTCATAGTTGTAGTTAATTTACATCCTTTAAAAAAAGATTCCAAGGAGCGCCGGTGGGTCAGTGGTTGGTTTGTGCTCCCCATGTGCAGAGGCTGTGGTCCTCACAGCGGACGGCCCGGGTTTGAATCCGATTTGTGGCTCCTTTCCCCGCTCTGTCTATCTCCCTGAGTCTGGATCTATCCTCTGTCCTGTCTCTCCAACAAAGGCACAAAGATCCCAAAAATAGAAGTGCTCTGAAATTGAGTTGTGAAGATTGAGTCTGTGTGTCTGTGTGTCTGTGTGTGTCAGAGCTCGTCCTGTGATCAGTGTGAACGCCACATTGGACATGACGCCTCAGATCATTAACCCTGAGGAGAAGTCGTGCAACATCTCTGGAACAAATACGCCGGTGTCCTGGTGAGTCTTAAACCTTATCAGGATCTTTTCACTCTGACGTTATTCTGATGAACAATGAGTCTGTGTTCAGTACTTTGAAGCACTGCTGCTGACTGTGTGTGTGTGTGTGTGTGTGTGTGTGTGTGTGTGTGTGTGTGTGTGTGTCTGTGTAGTTTCAAGGTAAAGTACTGTCTGAAGGCCAGCGGCATCAGCGCTCCACCCACTCTCAGTGAGTCAAACAAACCCTGCAGCATTAAAGACACACACAGTATATTTATGTATCTGAGTATGTGGTGGTGCAGCTGTCAGATCTGGCCTCTGATTGGTCGCTGGTCCTGCAGATTTCCGTGTGGACCTGGAGCTGGATCGTCTGAAGCAGAAGGAGTCGACCAAACGCGTCCTCTTCCTGCACGATCAAGCCTTTCATTACTCCAAGAACATGGTGGTCAACAACGGGAAAGGCCCCACCTGCGAGGAGCAGTTCGTCTACCTGGGGGTGAGACACCGTTTACCCACCACAGAAGAAGAAATTCAACACCTGCCAATGAAAACCTCTCACAGAGAAATACAGGAAACATTACAGACAGACACACACACAAAGGAGAGGGCTAATCTTGTTTTCACAGTCACCACTGAGCTTCTAACATTTGTCTGCAGACTTTGAATTAAAGAACATTCAGCATTGAGACACCCAAGCCTTTCCAGAGAGGGGGCGTGGTCAGATACAGCTTATTTACATTTAAAGGTACAGACACAGAAACAGCCTGTTCTGAGCAGGGCTGAAATAGAGGGTTTTATAGACATGATCAAATACAGGATCAGAGTGGATTTAGAACAGGACACTTCACACACATGTTTTGAGCTCTGAGACTTATTTACACTGGTTGTTTTTGTTGTCAGGAGGGCCAAGATGTTAGGGATAAGATCACACCCATCTCTGTGGCGATGGATTACACTCTGAACTATCAGATGGCTGCAGATCCGACTGGCCTGCTGCCCATCCTCCACATGTCGACACCGTCCAACGTCACCAAGCAGGTAACGCATCCGATGATACTTGACCTTCGGGTGTAAACTCTGTGACTGAGTCGTATTTTCTTTAATTCTTCCTGCTCTGTTTGATTCTTTGCCCTTTATGTTATTTAAGTTTTTTTGTCAACTCTTTGCCCTCAATGTCTCCGCCTGCTCCGTTTGCTCCTCAGGCTCACATCCTGTTGGACTGTGGCGACGACAACATCTGTAAACCCGACCTGAAGCTGTCCGTGAAGAGGTGAGACACTCAATCAATCAGGTGTTTATCGTCTTCAACTTACCTGAGGACACTTTTCAGGTAGAACTGCAAATGAAAATCTTTTTTCTCTGCTGGAACTCAACCCTCAGAGGCGTAAAAGGAAGAAAGAAAAACCAAAACAGGGCCAGGATTCCAAATAACTGGAAGATAAATGAAGTAGCTGATCAAACAAAATAAGATTGGAGCCCCGGTGGCCTAGTGGTTAGAGCATGCACCCCATGTACAGAGGCTGTAGTCCTCTATGTAGGGTTGAAAGCCCTTCCCTGCACTCTCTCTCTGTCTTGGTCTCTCGCAATCTCTTTCTCTCTCTCTCTCCCAAAAATAAATCTTAAAATATACAAATCAGATTGAAAATGGATAAAAACTGAATTGACAAGTTTTTCTCAATTCAACCGGATCAAACGTAAACGTAGGAATCAAACAGGACTTTGAACTCTATTTTCCCGTCAGAAACGGGATTACTTTATTTATTTTCTGTTGATGTTTGTTGTTGTTTTTTTTTCCCTGCAGTGACCGCGAGCAGATCTACATCGGAGATGATAACGCTCTGACTCTGGAGGTGGTCGCTGAGAATAAAGGAGAGGGAGCGTACGAGGCAGAGTTGCACATCTACCCGCCGCAGCTGGCTGACTTCACCAGGGTCGTCCCCAGCGATGTAACCTCACCTGTCCTGAACACACACACACACACACACACACACACACACACACACACACACACACACACACACACACACACACACACACACACACACACATCTGTGTTATTTATAAATATTGTCGAGGTGAAATGTTTTTTTCTCTGAAAAGAGGAAGTGAAGACATTTCAGCTGCTCAGAAAGAGGAACGTCTGTTCTGTGGAATCAGCGATGACTCTCAAATCATTTTAACCCACAAGGACATTTAAGAATCTTTATTTTTATGTTTTTATTTTTACCAGAACAAAAAGAGATCAGCTCCCGGGATTCAGTTGTACAGCCGACTCCCTCTGACCGAGTGTGCTCCCACTCTGATCGTTATTTTATGGTTTGAAATGTCGTTTCTTATTTCAGACTCACAGCAGAGTCTCCTGCACCTACAAGAAGGAGAACCAGACCAAGATTGTGGTGTGTGACCTGGGAAACCCCATGAAGGCAGGAACTGTGGTCAGTAAATCAACTCGTCTCGTACTGCGTGCTGGTCCTCTGCTGTCCCCCTGCTCTCTGATTGGTCCTCTGCTGTCCCCCTGCCCTCCTATTGGTCCTATGCTGTTTTACTGCTCTCTGATTGGCCCTCTGCTGTGTTCCTTCCTTCCGGTCAGATTAAGACAGCGCTGAGTTTCAGCGTACATCTGGTATCAGAGGAGGAGACATCTGTGAAGTTTGACCTTAAGATGGTCAGGTGAGCTCTGTCGTGTGTGTGTGTGTGTGTGTGTGCGTGTGTGTGTGTGTGATATGACAGATATGACATCATTCAGTGATTTAGAAGCGTTCACACAGTCCTCAAAGGATCCTTTATCCTGCTTTTTGAATATTCCACGTCGACTAAACGCTCCAGTTGAAATTTCAGAGCGAGACGATGGAGTACAGATCAACAGTTTAAATATAAAGAGTTGAGAGAACACAACCGTCAGAGATGGGAAATATACATCAGAGCTTAAAAATAAGTTACGGTTAAAATATTAGAAAGTTCAAAGTAAAGGAGACAGAGATGAAACGTTCTGAACTTTAATCCACTGTTTGTGTTTCAGCTCGAACCAGTTCGACAACACGAGTCCTCGAGTGTCCAGCGTCACCAAACTGGCGGTCCTGGCTAAAGTCTCCATCAGAGGGTAACACACACACACACACAGGCACTCACACACACACACACACACACACACACAGCACACACACACACACACACACACACACACACACACACACAATGCAGACATACGCACTCTGAAGTTTACATCCTGTGTTTCTGAATGTCTTGTGCGTGTGTATGTGTGCAGGACGTCGTCTCCCAGTCAGATTCTTCTTCCCATCGCCAACTGGAAACCCAGACATCCTGCTGTGAGCGTAGACGACCAGGGACCTCAGATAGTCCACGTCTACGAGGTACACACACACAAACACACACACACGGTGATACACGTCCCCCCCGTTCTCTTTAAATCATCTGGCTATTATCACTGTGACACTAAATATTGATCTGGAGACATAAGCGTGACTCGCTTCTCCTGATAAACAGAGTCTGTTACACTTAGAGCTATTTCCATAGCAATGGGTAACTCTGTAGCTGTTCCCACATGAAGCTGAATGTTTCCTCTCATGGTGAACATCAGAGCATCATCACCAGCTGAGCGTCGGACCTGCAGCTTCCTGTTTCTTCAAGCTTTCTCCAACATCTTAACGTCCTCTAGTCCGGTTTGTCGCTCGCTCTCTCCTGAAAAACTCCGGAGATTAGGCTATCCCGAGGGACTAGGGTATATTTGAATGCAAACAGACAAATTGCGTGTGTGCGTGCGCACATCGGGGCGAAACTCCCCCTAACATAATGGTAGGGGAAACACTGCTGCTGGAACCCTAGTATTTTATCCGCAGAAAGTCCGACTGAGCTGATGTGAGAACACAGCAGCATATACTCCGGAGGATTCACCTCACCCAATGGGACCCGAGGGACGTTTATATACAGTGACTGCTGCACAATGCATAAAGTGTCTGCACCACTACGGCTGCATTATGTTTTCTGTTCGTTAGTCTGTTGTTCTCCTCTCTTTTGTGGATGTTGTCATTCCATTGGACTACACATAGCACATAACACGTCGCAGTGTGAGCCAGGCGTTATCAAACAGTACAGAGACGGGCTAACTGGCTGCTTTTTAGCTGAAGGCTGCTGTGTGAACTAACGCCGTAAAGACGTACGCACTTCTCTCCAGATGACCTCGACCCGCTGCCAAAGTTACATAGTGCTGAAAACAGGCGAGCGGGGCGCTCTCCCTGTTGGAGGTTATTGTTCTATTAGATCGACTTTGAAACGACTGAAGGAGGAGGCGTTGCAGATGGTTGCTTTAATACAAGATAAGTTAGCCACAGCTGTATGAGAAACGTTCACTCTGTGAGAGTGTTTGAGCACTTTGTTTATGTGAACCAATCATCACCACTGGATGTTTTCAGCTCCTGAACAGCGGGCCGAGTACGTTCAGTAAGGCGTCTCTGGAGGTCGAGTTGCCGTATCATTACAAGAACGACTCTCTGCTCTACGTTGTATCTTTCGAGACCGAGGGGCCGATTAACTGCACCACGGACATCGAGCTCAACCCGCTCAACCTGTCGGTGAGAGAACAGGACACACACACACACACACAAATTATCTCTGTCTCTCTGTTCTCTGTGATATCTAACCTGTGTGTGTGTGTGTGTGTGTGTGTGTGTGTGTGTGTGTGTGTGTGTGTGTGTGTGTGTGTGTGTGTGTGTGTGTGTGTGTGTGTGTGTGTGTGTGTGTGTGTGTGTGTGTGTGTGTGTGTGTGTGTGTGTGTGTGTGTGTGTGTGTGTGTGTGTGTGTGTGTGTGTGTGCGTGCGTGTGCGACAGAGCCCGCTATCCTCAGCGAAGAACATCAGCGGTGGGATACCTCCCAGAGAGACAGAGACAGAGGGACGAAACAGACACCAAGTCCGCAGGAGAGAAGTGGAGTCAACAAGAGACTCACAGAACGACCTGCAGACACTGGTACACACACATACACACACAGACTAACACACACACACTCAGATAAACACCGTAAAATACTTTGGCACCAAAGTAACCCGACTAAAGACAGTACTCTGGATAAAATTATCATGATTCAGTGTGTGTGGGTGTGTTTGTGTGTGTGTGTCTGTGTGTGTGGGTGTGTTTGTGTGTTTGTGTGTGTGTGTGTGTGGTGTGTGTCTGTATGTGTGTGTGGGTGTGTTTGTGCGTGTGTGTAGGACTGTAACACAGCAGACTGTCTGCGGCTCAGGTGTCAGGTGGGTCGACTGGTGAAGGGGAAGAACGCCATCGTGTTCATCTACTCCAGACTGACCGTCAACAACTTCCTCAGGGTAAACGATAAACACACACAAACAAATCTCACCTCTCACATGTCGGACGTCGTGATCTGACGTCACTCCACACGTCAGACACGTGACGAGTCTTTTGTTTGTTTCTCCGTCAGACGGAGAATCAGAATCGTTCGTATATGGTACAATCGACTGCGTCCTTCAACGTCATCGAGATGCCGTATAAGAACCTGGACTCAGAGCTGTCGTCCAACAGCACCATGGTGAGACACACACACACACATGCACACACACACACATGCACACACACACGGAGTTCATGTTCAGGTCATACAGAGCTGGAGGTGTGTGAGGTGTCAGTGTGTTGATGCAGTGTGTGTTTTCAGGTCAGTGTGTCGGTCATGTGGGTGGCGGAGCCGCCTCAGTCGGTCCCGGGTTGGGTCGTAGCCCTGGCAGTGTTAGCCGGTCTGCTGCTGCTCGCTCTGCTCATCTTCATCATGTACAAGGTGAGACACAAACACTGAGAACAACAACAACAACAACAACAACACATAAACAAACAACGCCCAGCTGAGTGTTCACTATCTCAGCTTGTTATAAATGGTCTCCTGAGGCAAGACGAGACGTAAAAAGAACGAAGCAGCAGAATCGTCTATCCGACGCTCTAATGAGAATATTTGTCTTTCTATCAATGCTGCGTGTAGTTGAACAGAATCTCAATCTGAACTAAAGAGTGGAGAAGAACATACTGGAGAACAGGAAACATAATGCAGCAGGTTCATTAGAGCACGGAGATGGTAGAGGTGGCGTGCAGACAGTCTATGGTCGTGCAGCGATCACAGAGAATAAACGTCACCACCCCCCTCCCACTCGCTCCAGGTGAATTCTCCTGATTATATCCTGCTGCGTTCTCACATCAGCTCACTCTGACTTACTGCAGAATAAATACGAGGAGGCTGGAGGAGAAACTCTGGGAGAAGAGAGAAACATTCATCTGTTTGTGTTAAGCACGAGAATATCAGGAAGTGTTTTAGGAGTTGAGCTGCAGTGTCAAATCAGTGTGTATTCATTTCTTCTTCTCTTGGTCCTCAGCTGGGCTTCTTTAAGAGGGTCCGCCCCCCCCAGGAGGACTGCACAGAGAAGGAGCAGCTGCAGCCGGAGGAGAACGGAAACACTGACGCCTAGAGGTCAAACTGAGGAGGGGCGCCCCCCTACTGTTTGTACAGAACAATTTAGGGGAACACGGCCGCTGAGAGAGTTTCACTGTATTCACTGTTGGATGGGAGATAAGGTACTGTTTCAAGTTTTTTTTTTTTTTTACAAGTGTTCTTTTTCTGTTTGTGCCAAAAGAGAACGTCAGACAGAGACACATGAAACCTTCAGAGATCATCAGAGTGTCTTCAAGTTAAAGGAGTATTTCAACATTTATGGTACACACTTCCATTCCTCTCTCGTTTCTGTACGCTACACATCCAGCTAGCTAGCTTAGCATTAGGTCTGGAAACTAGGGGGCGAATGCACCTGGAAACACCCGGAGCGCTCTCTGATCCACAGGTTTGATCCAGTTTGCACATTTTTCTATCTTTCCATGTGACTAGTGACTTTTTGTACAGAGAACTAAAAACAAAACATGTAGACCCATGAACTCCTGTCGACCTTTCCCCTTTAATTTTAGTCCATACGAGAAGCTAAGCTAATTAGCTCCTGGTTGTAGCTTCATATTTCACATTTCAACTTGAGGAAGAATCCCTGAGTGCGTTTACACGGACTTGAGTATCCCGGTTCTGAGTCTTGTCCTGGTTTTGATCCACCTGGTTCTTCATCTCCCTGATCAATCCTCGTATCCTGCTTTATGATGACTGCGTTTTATTTGTGCAGGTGCCTCTGATGTTTATTTTTTATGACACAAACCGCGGCTAGTTTGAAATCTGCTGAGACCTCTGAGGATTAATGTGGATGCTGACAACACATCTCATTAAAGATTTTGGAAAATGTGAAAGTGGCTGAATCAGAGCCCCTTCTTCTGATGTTTAACCACGTAGAAATGTTTCTTCAAAGTGACCTGACTCGCTCCATCGTACGTGTCATGACACCGGCGTCCCGCAGCCTGTTCACCACCGACTTTAAAAGGTCAGCATGTCGACTTCATTCTTTCATTACCACAAGACAAATCTCCGTTTCTTCGTAGCTCCAGAAAGTAAGACACTCTCGTTGTCATTTGTTTTGTTGATAAGTCACTTGGCTGAGGCAGCGCCTGTGCAGGTCATCAGCGGTTAGAAACCCGGGTAAGGTGTATACGCTGCAGTATCCTGTTTACTTTCAGAGTTCTCCAGGTAACTAAATGGGGTTCTCAAAATCAGGATCAGGGCGTATCCCGGTTCCCTGGTTTCTTTGGGGTCAGATGTTTGCATGCACAAACAAAAGAACAGGATAC